GCCCCGGCCGGCAGTTTCCCCAGTGGACGTCTCCATTTCTGTTGGTGTGGTGGCTCAAAATCTCTCTTTTCCACTCAGCACACACCTGACACTGAGGCTGAAACTACAGGGGGCGGCGGTGAGGAGGGGCCAGAGACCGAGGGAGAGGCAGCATCTGGGGCCTCTGAGCCCCAGGCATCGCGTGCAGCCCCGAGGGACCCGGAAGCTGCGCTCGGGACGGGGACCGGGTTGTGAAGGTCCTGAACCAGGTGCTCACCTGGCGGGCGCGCGGGCTGCACCTTGAACCGCCACGGCAGGAGGCGCGGGGACCCAGGGTGGGGGTGGCGGCGAGCAGGCTGCCATGAAAGGCGAGCACCTCGCGGCCGACAAAGCCTTGCAGGCAGCCGCGCAGCAGCAGCAGGCAGTGGCCCGCCTTCACCCAGTTCTTATATTCAGCGCAGTTGAGGCGCGCGGCCAGGTCGGAGAGCACCATGTTCCCCTCCGGCCCCGGAAGCCCCAGAGTTGGACGCGCAGCAGCGCGCAAGCGCCGGAGCCTGGGAGCCGTGTATCTGCGGCGGCGCGGCCCCGCCCAGAGGCCGTCACCCTGCGTGGCCACGTGAGCGATGGTGTGACAGAGTAACCCGCTCTCGGCCACAGACGCCCGGCGCAGGGGCGGGGCGGTTTGGCTTCCAAGGACAGTTGGCCAGTGCCGTCTTAGGTGACCGCAGCCGTTTAAGTACCGAGGTAATCTCTATTTGAAACCTTTATGCTCTGTTCTCTCTTCTCTAAACTAAGATCCCGCCACCCCCCCAATTCGACACCCTTTCCTGGTACCTGGGCTCCTGTATTCTAGAGACGTAGATGTTTAAGGCATGTATGTTGAATTACGTAGTTCCTTGCATTACACATTCTGGAAAATTTAGTTAACTGGTTCCTAAACCCACAAATTAGCTGTTTAAAATTGGGGCATTAGTGAAACGTGACCACAGGCTGCCTGTACCGTGTACCTATAATGCAGCTGCAGTGTGCCAAGCTGACACAAAGTTCAAAAAGTTCCTATTCGCCACCTTGCAGGAGCAAATGGGACAGTTCATCACCGCAATTCTACGTGGCTGCACAGAACCCCGAGCCCTGAACCATCCAGCACAGGTTAGATAATTATTTCTCAGGTTCTATAATTAATGCTTCTTTTCTTAGGAGTAGTAGTTCTGGTAGCACGGTGCCTAAGGTATTTACTAACCACGTCTGCAGTTCAAACCCACCAGCTGCTCCTGCAAGAAAAATGGAGCAATCTACTTTCTTAAAGATTTACCCCCAGGGAAACCCAATGGGGGTAGCTATGAGTTCCAATGGACTGGATAGCAGTGGTGGTGGTTTTTTTTTTTTTTTTTTTTGATCTTAGAAGATGGTGCAAAGTTTAAGTTCCAAATAAGTGCCACAGGGGTAATAAGGCAATGGATTGTCAACTCCCAACTGTCAAGAGATTGTCTCCGTTTTAGTTGCTTTTAGTGAGCCTCCTGAGTTTAGAAACATGTTAGTGTGTCAAAGGCTTTGAGGGAAAAGCCTGGAAGGCTTGCCATCCCGACTGCTTGGAACACAGCAGAGCTGCACAGTGGCTCAGAGCCCTAGTTTCCGATTCGCAGCATCTTAGCTTTGTTTGCTCTTAAACAAATCTGTTAAAGATCTATTTTTCTTAGCTCTGCTTGATTTTAAGCATTTACTTCCTTCACTTCTCTGGGCCTCAGTTTACTCATAGGGTTGTGAGGATTAAATAAATACACACTAAAATACTTAGAACAGTGCTTGATATACTAATAAGCTTTCATTAAACATTAGCTATTATTTTTTATCGACCTAAATATAATCAGTCAGTTAAATTCCTGGGACAGGCATTTTAACAAATCTCCAGCCACTTTGGAAGTCAAGACAATTTATAGAAAATTGTGAGCAAGTACTGTTCCATGGATCATGGTGCTTCTGGAGTTACGCAGCTCAGTGCTGACTGGCCTCAGTTTATTTCTTCTTAGTACTTCCATACTAGATCCATCCTGAGAAAACTTCAAAGCATTCCCTTAGACATAATGCCCATTCCCATAAAACCAAATGAAAAGGAAAATTCCATGAGAAACAATGAAATGTACCCTAAATGTTTTCCTTGCCATCCTTTAAATCTTTGAATATGTTTTCTTAAAAGTTTCTGTGTACTGATTTTATACCAAGAACAACTGGATGATAAATAAAATACTAAAATAAACTGTAACAGGTATTTCTTTTGGAGAAAAAAAAATGAAAGAAATGAACAAATCTTTATGTTGAAATTGGATCAGAGTTTCAGAGTAGCAAAATTATACTTTTTGAAGTTAACAAATTAACCCAAAGAATGACTAACTATACTATAGATTGTTAGTATTCTGTGGCTGAACAGGTTACTGTGTTAACTGCAACAGAGTGAAGTTACTAGTGGACACGTACATTCAAAATTATGTGTATTTTAGTTTATCATCGTACTTGTCTCACTCAGAATTTTCAAACATAAGGTTCAGCCCTTGTTACTAATAACCTCCAACTGGTGTGTTCTGTTGAAGTTCTCACCTTCTTCATCTCCACTGATTCTGAAAGTACTTCTATACAATCTGAAAGGGAGGAAAAATCAGGACCAATTCCCTGTTTCAAGGTTAAACTAGTACTAAACCAGACCACTATTCATCAAAATTGATTAGAGAGAGTTGGTAGTTCTCTGAAACTTATATAAATTTTATTTATTACGAATAGTACTAAAATCACATTGAAACACCTTAAAGTTAGGATCCAAACCACCTATTAGGAAAAACTATTATGGGCATCCAATCCCTTTGGTCGAACCTGGATAACAAAAGAGGCATGGTTTTGTGATGAAACCTACAATTCAAATGCTACATGTTTTTAAGCTTTAATAAGGTACATACCAATTCCAAGTACCAAGCATGATATCAAAATTCAAATTCACAGGATTAACTTTTAATAAGCATTGAGAGCAAATTCTGTTCACTGGATCCTATCTTTCTTCTGATTTTCACAATGCATTCAGAGATGAGTTATAATTAGTGGGGGAAGTGTCCACTGAATGCATCATGTTGAAAAATGAATTACATGTCAAAACCACACTTAAAAGGGAAAATACCTGAAAAGTTAACTCTATTAATAAAATTATGTGAAACATTATCACCCTGCAGATAAAAATACACTTCTTATATATACATGTAGATTTCTACATGAAAGAAAGGATTCAACACCAAACAGAAAAGGGCTAATCCTTGATAAAGATATCTTAGATTGCCAAACTGATGTTATTACCATTATAAGGAGAACTGAAAACAGAAGGATACAAGGTAAGTTAAAGCAAGGATAAAAGTTTAGAGTCACCAGGTCCTGAATAGTGGCAGAGTTGGGTGAGAAACAGGAGATGAAGGCAGAAATAAGACACAGAAGAAAGGCAAAGAAGGCCTCAACTCTAACCGAAAACGAATGGAGAATCAAGCAAAGTTCAGAACAGGCATGAGATAGCTGCAGTGAGATGCTCAATACTAGAATTTGGTAGTTGACAGTTACAGAAGCTCAATTCAGTTGTCTTAAAGTGGAATTTGACAAAGCATCTAAAATTTAATGGAGAACCAATTTTACAGCAACCAGATAATGTAGCACAAGTATTATCATTTTCAGAACTTCCCCAATAATGTCAAATCCCCAAAAGACCTTTGCTTTGGATCATGTTCTGTGAAGCTTAAAAAGTCCCTTACTAACTGGGAGAAACAGCACAATGCTCCAAAAAGAAACCCTGCCGAGATGTGTCAGTACCAGAAACTCGATTTGACCCTGGAACATGCATAGACTGGGCCCTGGATCTTGGAGTCTTCAAAATGAGGAGACTGGACCGAGTCTTTTCCAAGTGAAACATTCTTTTTTTTGTTGACAGTGAACTTAATTGGGGTTGTTTAGAACAACCCCAGTCTTGGTGGGGGGTGTGAGGAGGAGAAGTTAAGCAAGATAAGGAAACATTACAGAAATTCTATCCAAGGGTAGAACATTAAAGTTCTTTGGTTCCTAAGTAATGCTACAGGCAGAAGTCTCTTGTAAACAAAATTTGCCTAACGGAAAAGTTCCACATCCTCAACAGATGAGAATGATAGCATTATTTGGGATCCTGGGCTCAGGAGAAACTACTTACAGTCTCTTTATAAAGGCTAGAATCTTTCCTTTTCACCCAAATCCTACACTGAAAAGATAACCAAGGTGCTAAAAGTCAACTATCAGTCAGGTTAGAAAAGTTCGAAGAAAATAAATTAACCTTGAAATAAAGAAGCAGATGTTTTTGGTCAAATTTCAGATATGTATTGTTAGAAATGAATTATGAGCCCCACCAGGTTAAAGATGAAGGGGGGCCCTGAAAAGTCTAGAGAGCTTATACACACACAAGTGAGTGTCATTGTTTTTTTTATTTTAACCTAGTTTTATTAAATATTGCTTCTTTGGGATCTGTTTATAACAACTCCCAGCACATTTTCATGTAAGGATTCAAAGCGGTCATATTAAAATACAGCTTCAATATAAAGTTTATCACAGTTTTACAGTATTCAAAAATGACAGACCTGCCTTAAAAAACAAAAACCAAAAAAAAAAAAAAAGGACTATTACACCCAAAACATAAGAAAACAATTAAATAAACAAGTTTGGCATTTTCATAACTTTATAAGTATAAAACAGAATATTAAATCTATTACTGGCAAGTGGACACTGATGTATTACCTAATTGGAAATATGTCTCATTTAAACACACTATACAAGTTAACTATACAAAAGATTGATGGTCTTTTTGATGAAAGAAGTGCACCCTGAAATTTTTTGCCAGTTTAAAATTTTTAGCTCTTAAAGTCAGAAAGTCCTTTTCTTTTCTAAACTGAAAGCTGAATTCATTTTTTTTGTTTTGTTTTGTTTTGTTGTTTTGTCTCATTTGTCAGCCTTCCTGGTTTTAAAAACAATAGTGTTTATGGACGCCCACCAGGGGGCAGTGTAAGATTAGCCATTAAATCACGAACAGCTGCAAATATTGTGCATTCACCTGCAACAGAGAAAAATGGTCATTAGCTATTCGCAATACAGGAAAAGATGTTAACACACCGGTGAGGGAAGGGGTAATTAAATTTAAAATTAATAAGAACTTTAAAGATCCAAATGAAAGACTAATTTTAATTGCCCATATTATAGTGGATTAAACTTTGGTATTATCTCTGGTAGCATAGTGGCTAAGACAATTGCCTGCTAACCAGACGGCTGGCGGTTCAAACCCACCAGCCACTCCTCGGAAGGAAGGTTGGGCAATCCTACTTTCGTAGTGATACTGCCTCGGAAACCCAAGGAGGGGTCCCTATGAGTCAGGTTTGACTCGAGGGCACATAACAACAACAACAACAACAACATTATCAGTTGATATTTGAGTTGGGTTTAGTTTTTTCCTCAGGAGGAAATTTTGGCAATTCCCAGTTTTTGAATTTAAGAAGATATGCCTAGAGCTTCTCTACAGAAACACTGCAACACTAGATAAGCCTTTTGAAGTTGGGCTTTAAGGTTATTGACAACTTGTTTTTTTGCATTTTGAATCTGACAAAAAGATCTAGTTTATATTTTGTGCATTAGTTATATCCTCAGTGGGTCCTTACAATGTTCACTAAAGGCCAGATGAACTATCTAGAACAGTACTACCCAACAAATAAGGGAAATGCTCTAGATTTGTGCTGTGGCTCCTTAGCACTTATAATTTAGCTAGTATGACTGAGGAACTGAATTTTATATTTTATTTAATTTTAATTAATTTAAACTTAAATCGCCACATATAGCTAGTGGCTATCATATCAGACATTGCAGGTCTTTGATATGTATTGGTGTTTTCTCCCAAATTTCAAGCAAACAGTCAGTTTATGGTGTTCAACATTAAAACCAATTAAATAATTTTTTTTTCTTTTTTAAGTGATTTTTCTTAAAAGCACTCATGGGGAAGAGGAGGTGATGGGTTTGGGAGGAGAGGAAGAAAGGTGAAGTATGACAAACCAACAACCCAAACACAAGATCTGTTGGGAGGCGGGGCTAATGATTCATCCTCTTAATTCTTCTTTACTCAAAGAAACCAAACACCCTGCCTCTCTCACTTCTTGTAAATGTCACAAACATTTCAATATTATAAACAAAACCAACTGTAAATAGTATAAACCAAAAGTCGGATCCTTTCACTAGAGTATGCCGAACAACAGTGGCTAGAAGTGAGAGAAGAACTGAAGTCCTCATGTGGATAAAGGCCTTCCAGCCAAGGTCAGGATGAGCAGTGACAACATGCAAGTTATTGTTACCTTCTCATCAATCATGGGAAAATTATAAAGTACAGAACGAAACTGAAACCCAAAAGTTTGCCCAGCCTAAAGTAAAAATAAAAAAAGAAACTCACTTCTCAAATAGCCCAACAATTTCTTGGGTGAAAGAAGGAATTACATCTTTCTTTTTCTCTCTTTTTTAAAAAAAATTTTTCATTACTGCTAGGTAGAAATACTTGCTTGATCCCAATAGGAGCAAAATAGTCTTTCCTTTTAATTTTAAATTACACCAGGATATCACAGTAGTCAACTGATTGTGAAGCAATGTTGTTTCTTATCAAAGTTCTATTGTACTGCTACTTAGAGAATGCTGATAGCTTTAAGCTTTGATTCTTCGGGACTTATTTTTAGCTGAAAGAAGAGATAAGTCAAAGGATGAAAGCAGAAAATTGTAAGAAGTGGAAGAAGTATTACAACAAAAGAAGCATACCCTTCTCTACTGCCCAGTGCATTCCCTCCCTATAGACTGTAATTAAATGGAAAATCACCTATGTATACAATATGAGGAAACAAACAGCTAAAAGTATGACCTCTCCCGACTCCTGCCTCTCAAATTTTGACGTGGTAACTAGAAATGTTTCAGAGAACAACTTTCCCTCATTTCAAAACCTAATTATTTTGTCCAACTATTCTAAATAGAAAGATATGTAGGTACTTCCTTAATATTGGAAATAAGCAAAATTCAAATGTAATTTAATTTTAATGTTAGAAAATAAGCAAAATGGAAGATAAGTTCTCTTTCCTGAGCTTTGTTTTGTAACCAAAAATTTAGCACTGCCAGGAGTTACATGTTAAGCATATGCTACTTCAGGACTGAAGGGACCTGGTTTGTTTTTCCAGAAACTTTCTGGTTTCCTCGAAAATGTTCAGTTTGAGAGCTTCATTGTGCACTTGGTGAAAGGTTCACTTGCACCCACCTGACACTTATATAAGAAGCCCAAAAAGCAATGATGCCATTTGTATCAGCTTTTATTCTTCACAAAACATTTAGAAGATACAGAACTTTTAATGATATTATTCTATTCATGATTGAACCATGAAGTATGAGAAATTAACATGCATTTCAACTTCGTGATGTACAGAGTGGCAGGTATTGATAGGAGTGCAGGAATTCACAGCCATGGAAAATTTTATCATCCTAATCTAGGGCTTCATGGCAACATGTGCTATAAATACAAGCTTCTGGCATTAGCAACTAGGTCAGTCCCAATAGTAAATCACTAACAAAAATAAAGTCCAGGCAGCAGAGAAATGGACAAAACTGAAGAACGAGTGAGAAAGGAAAGCGACAGGCAGACAATAAGAGGGTCACAGCAACCAGAGTACTACTACTAAGATAGGGAGTAGGGAGGGAGGGAAAAGAGGGGAGACGAAGGGGGTGTCTCTCAAAAGACCTTTGATAACATATATGCAATAAAATACCGTCTACTGGTCATGTACCTTGTCGTGGTGGATTCATCTCTGCAAACCTCTTCAGAATGTTGCTGACCATCATGGGAGCAGCAACAGAAGAGTTCTGCTGTCTGGGAATGTCTGCCTGCTGGGTTGTACCTGAAGCCATGTCATAAATGATTGGAACTATAATACTAACAGGTTCTTGGGGAGGGACGGATGTTTTCTGAGTTAGTTGAAGCTGTAGACACACAACACACACACAAAAAGAAAAACACAATAAGAAGATAAAACATCTATCTCAATTTATCAAAGTCACTATCATTTACTGTACTTTTAGATTGAGAGACATCAAGCCAAAGAAAATTAAATATGACAAAGAAAAGCAGCAAACCACCAAATAAATCATTATTAGGGTTAAGATGCAACTGTGTCACGCAATTACCTAGTTCAATAAACGTGTTATCACCAAAGGAACCAGGATTACATAAAGTCTAAACTGACAGTTAAAGGAATCTAGGCCTGTATTTGGCAGTAATAGATCATTTATGCAGTTATCCAAAAGTTGCTGTACATTCTCAGAAGGCTTTTCACTCAAAAGCTCTGCACACACAGATACCAGGTGGTACTTACAAAAAAAAGCATTTTGGATTTCAGCACCACAGCAGGCGTCCCAGGAGGTGCTATCGGTGGTGCGCTGGGTGGGATCGTCAGGCAAAACTGAACGTTCCACTTTAGCTGTGTTGCCTGGTCAGGGAACTATTTTAGGAAAAAGAAGAAATAACACAATAAAGTTATATGAACATTTAAAATTATATTCTAGTATAGGATTCTGACAGGTTAGCATTTTACTCTGTACCTAATTAACAAAACACAAACTCAGTCAAAAGAATGCATAACATGAAGTTACTAAGTGAAAAGTCAACTGTGGATTTATGTAATATGTTCCTCTTCCCTTCCTCCCACCTAATTAGTTCCTAGTGCCAATGGATTTTGCTTTCAATGTCTCTGACATCGATTCCTGCCTCTCAATTTTCACTGATGCTACCCAAGCTCAGGGATTCATAACTTCTCCTGGCACCCTCTAATGATCCTTTCCAGTAGGTTCCTCCCCCAGTCCATCTTTACACCACTGCCAGACACATATCTTAGACCATGGTTCTAACAATGGCACCATGGTAGCTAACAATGTTCAGTAACATTCAGTGACACACACTACCCCCACAACTAAGGAGCAACACCTCAAGGCCTTGGCATTCAAGGCCATTCTTAACTAGTGTCAGTCTAGACTTCCAGACCTATTTCCATCTTCTTCCCCAAACAAACTAATCAAATGTGTTAATGATTTAAAGTTATATCCACCAGAGCATTTCTAGCCATAAAAATATTTATTCCTTTAGAAATCTGAATAGGTTTCTTTTGACATAAACAATGTTTCCTATACCCTGTCAGATCAGAAGCCAAATGTTGAGACCCCTGATTTTTAGTGGGGCACATGGAAGCTCTGAATAAAGAACTACATTTCTAGACTGTCTTGCAGCTTGATGTGTCCATATCCCTGTGAAAGAGATTAAGTGGGAGTAGAGCATGCAACTTCCCTTAAAGGAAAAGAGATATAGTCGTCTTCTCTCTTTTTTCCTTCCTATTATCTAGATACTGAGATAGAAATGGTAGGGTAATAAGACACAAAGTGCTTGGATCCTTAACACTGTGGCTCAACATAATGGCCTTGGATACCCTACCCTGGGGCTTTGACATGACAAATAAAACAAATTTCTGCCCTGTTTAAACTATGGGTATCTGGGGGATGTTGACACTTACAACCAAACCTAATGCTAACCAAAACAGAGAAATATATACATACATATATATCTATACATATAATCAGCCATGTTAATAAAAAAAGGAGACGCCTACTTGATCATCTCAATAGATGCAGAAAAAGCATTGATAACACCCAGCATTCATTTGTTATCAAAGTTTTAAAGTAGGAAGAGGACACTTCCTCAATCTGATGGTATCTACCAAAAACCTACAGAAAAGATCATATTAAATGGTAGAATGATTAAGAAAGTTCAACAAGACTGCTAGGGATAAAGTACATTTGTATATACCGGCATCAAAGAATTAGAAAACGTAATTCAGAAAAGATATCATTTACAGTATCAACAAACAAACAAAAGAATCCAGGAAGAAAGCTGAAAAAAGATATATAAGACCTTGCCCTATGACAGAAGAAGACTTATTCTCAAGCTTTAATGATTAAGTGAGATAAAGACACAAGGCAAGACTGTAGATCAATGGAACAGAATAATCATGTAAATATGGAAATTGATATATGATGACTATAGCATTACAGATCTGAGAAAGGGTGATTTATATAAATATTGTTATGGCAACTGGTTATTCACATGAGAGGAAAAAAAATTCGATTCTCTACCCCACACCATACACAAGCAATTCTAAATGGGTTCAAGACGTAAATGTAAAAAGACTGTGTGTGGGGGGGGGATTTGGCAATACCAACTGTTGCTAAAGATTGGGAAGTAGGAACACTCTTCCATTTCTGGTGGAAGTGTAAATTGGTATAGTAACTCTGTAAATAAATCAACAGTATCTAATCAAATGACACATACTTAACTTTCTGTGCCTTACCAGCTTCTTCATTTCTTTAAGACTCGGCTGAAATCAGTACTTATTCATAGGACAGAGAATTAGATGAGATACTACATGTAATTTTTTGTTTACATGTAAAGTTTTTAAGTGGAGCAGATAATAGTTGTGATAATGTAATGCTATTGAACAGTGAAAATGAGTGAAGTGCAGATACCTGCATCAGTGAGGACAAGCCTTTCAGACATGATAATGAATAAAAAAAATGACAGATCCTAAAAGAATGTGGTACGATAGTATCTATCTAAAATTCAAAATTTGCAAAATTTAAACAATATATTGCTTTAGAAATTTATACATGTGATAAAATTATAAAGAAAAGTAAGGGAATGATACACACCAAATTCTTCTTGGAGGTAAAGATAGGGGATACAATCAGGAAAGGTCATGTGAGTAGTTTCAAACAGAAATGGTAATGCTTTATTTCCTTTAGTTGTGTGGTGAAAACATAGGTATGTTTCATTATGCTTTTCTACCTACACATATGTTATAAAACACCAAAACAAAACCCACTGCCATTGAGTCAATTCCAACTCACAGAGACCCCCATTCAGTTTCCAAGGCTGCAAATCTTTATGGAAGTAGATTGCCTCATCTTCCTCACACGGAGCAGCTGGTGGGTTTGAACTGCTGACTTTCTGGTTAGCAGCCAAAATGCCTTACCCACTATACCACCAGAGCTCCTTATATACATTACAAATTTGTATATGTATGAAGAATTTAATTTAAAAATAATGGAAAAAAGTACAAACCATGATGTATAGAATGGTTTCATTTCATTTTTTAAAAAAAACTGTATGGGGGAGATACATGCATTTGCTTTTATGAATAGACCATTCCTGGAAAAATAGGCAAGGCACTATAACTCTAGATGCCGACGGAGAAGGGGACTAGTTGGCATGACAGGGATGATGGGGAACATTTTTCACAGTTATCATCTTGTTCTATACTCAAAAAATACACAGAAATATGTTACCTACTTAAATATTATCTAAATTTAATAATTAAGAAGAATTTAAGAGAAAAATGGAAGAAAATATGTAAGTAGGTAAAAACCAAAAAAGAAAAAAAGCAAAGCAAAACACTGCCTCCACCAATTCCAACCTCCTCAAATAGATCTTTCTATAAAAGTATGGCTTTCTTTGTAACTTACCAGCTCTAGTTTCATAATATGTACACAGTCTCTGAGGATGTGTGTAGGCGCTCCTAACAGCTTGGTAAAGGCTATTAACGTATTGGCTTTAAATGGTGGTCCTGCAACCTAGAGATAAATAGAGTAAATTACTTTTCATTCTACCTAGACTCTTGTGCTTCTTTAATTATATTAAAATAATGCATTATTAAATACATACTCTTGTTTCAAAGAATTTCTCCAGAACTTGAAGTTCATCAGGTTTCCACTGTCCTGCATTTTCAGGTGTCACTTTTAGCTGAAGTGTTTGGTTGGTTTTGGGACTAAGGGCTACTCTGCATTTCAGTGCATCAGTCTTAAACATGATCACTCCTGGTTCATTAGAATTTATCAGCTGTAGCTAGAAAACAAGAAGGATCATGAAATTTACATGTATGACACAAAAGAAATGAAGAGATTACTAAGGGAACTGTTTCAAGAGCAAAGCAATTTAGCAGATACTTGTTTCAGAACAAAGGAAGGCATCTGGGCACCGAGCATCAACAACTAACATTACCACAAAAAAAGAGGCAAGCAGACATGTGCCTCTTAATGGAAAAATCTAACACTGTCTATAAAGTATTCTTGCAGAATAACAACAACAAACTTGAACCTGACTGAATCCAGTAGTTCAATTTAGAAGATTGATCAATATTGCGGGGAATATGGAAGCCAAAAGAACATGTTAAATGATTGCAACAGGAAGCAATGAGAAAAATCCAGACCAAAAACTCTACAGGATATATGATATGGTTTTTTTTCGATAACTAAGTTGTGTAAAGACAAAGGAAAGGAGAAACAGAGGGGGAGCCTATTGTTTAAAAGGGACTTAAAATAACTTATCTGGATTCTGATTCAGACTCTAAAAAAATGAGATAACTGAAGAAATTTGGGTACCAACTAAATATCTAATGATAAAAAAATCATTACTTTTTTTTTAAGTATGATAATGGTATAATGGTTACTTCTTAAAAGAATTCGTACCTTTCAGAGATACATACAAAAGTATTTATAAACACCAAACTCACTGCCATCGAGTTAGATCCGACTCATAGTGGCCCCTCCTTGGGTTTCCGAGATGGTATCACTACAGAAGTAGATTGCCCAGCCTTCCTTCCAAGGAGTGGCTGGTGGGTTTGAACTGCCAGCCTTCTGGTTAGCAGTCAAATGCCTTAGGCACTACGCCACCAGAGCTGTAATAACATGCTGTCTGGGATTTGGTGTGAAACAAGCTGGGGGGAGGAGATACAGATGAATTGGTCTACGTTGGCTGTTGAAGGTGGGTGATGAGAACATAAAGGTTCATTATATTATTTTCTCTACTTTTGTATATTCCTAAAATTTTTGAAAATAAAGCCTTTAAAAAGGGTACAGTGGAAAAAAGAATAAAGAATACAATTACAAAATGTTAGATATGGATTGGGCCCTGAATTTTATTGTCCAGGGGTTGGCAAATTTTCTTAAAGGTCCACATAGGAAATATTTTATATGAGCCCAGTTGTCTCTTTTAGCAACTGTCAATGATATTGTTGCAGCACAAAAGTAGCCAGACAATATATAAATGAATGGGTACGACTGTATTCCAATAAAACTTTATTTACAAAATCAGATGGGTGGCAGAATCTGGCCCCAGGGCCAAAGTATACTGACCCCCCTTCTAGGTTAATATGCTTATTACACAGATGAGCAAAATGAGGTTCAAAGAGCTGAGAACTTACATGACTTGTTAGCAGCAGAGGTGAGAACAGATTACATTACCTTTTCTAAATGCTAATTTATGCAACATATTTTATAACTTATTTTTTTCAAATCTAAATATAAAGGCTTGGTGCCTTTGTATTTAATGAATATAAATAGCTTGGTGCCAACCTGGAGGTAGATATTTCAAACATTTACCAATATAACTATATAGTATATCATTATCACAAATGTACATTAATTATAAATAATATATACTGAATGCTAAGGCATTATGCTAAGGGCTTTACATGAAATCTCTCAAATTTCCACAACAGTATCAATTAGGTAGATACTATTATCTACCATTATCAGAAAGGTGAAAAAATCTGCCCAAGCTCACACTAGTAGGTGGTATGGCCTGACTACAAGCCCAGGCAGCCTGACTCCAGAACTAGTACTATCAGACCTCGAAACTCTCTCTTAAAGGCATGACAACAGGATGGGTTATTTTTCTATAAGGGTTCTAAATAAATGCAATTGTCCACGTATTTTAAAACCAGTTTCCATTCTTGTGATCATAAATAACTGTATTCCAACGGAGACTCAATTCAAAGTAAGCCTGTGTGCAAAGCACTCCAGAGGGAAAAAAGCAATTCATATGCTGTCCTCTGCAAGCCCAGGTCCTTGCTGTGCTTGTTCTATAGTATCACAGTGACAAATCTCCATGTCCATGTTAGCCATATTAACATGGTGATAGCACAGCAAACTGTAAATTGTACAAATATGCTAACATAAGAATGGAAAAGTAGTAGTGGAACTCAATTTTAATGCTAGGACAGGGTGAAAAGCATAATTCTAATAACAACAACAACAACAACCACCAACTCTAAAGGACAGCTTAGCATTCCACCTTTGAAAATCACCACTTATGAGGTCACTAGGTAGACATACCCCTTTTTTTCTTTTACTTTTTATTATCCCTGTGTTTACCTTTTCCTTGTGTCCTTCCTTCCTGTGCATTCCTACTTTTTGAGCTTTGGCCTTGCCCAAATGCTGCCTTTCTGATCTCCCACAGTTGATCTAATGAGTACACCTCCCTGGTGTAACTGTTTACCTCCTAGCCCTGTCTATTGTTTGGCTGAAGGTTAAGCCATGGGAGTAAGTTTAATTCCAAGCCCAAAGCGTGATAGGCAGCATACCGTTTCTTGCTGAATAATTCTTTGAAGGTGTCGTCTCATGATGACTGATCCAAGGAATCTCTCCAGTGGAGAACAAAGGTAACTACCTGCCAGGCCCGGCACTAGGCCTGGTGTTGGAGAGGGCAGCAGTAAAATGTTCAAGGCACTGTGAGTGAGGATGGTAGGGATGGATGCTGCCCAAGAGCGTTGAGGTAGTTTACGAGGTGGAGGCATGTTTGTTGGCATCGTCTGAGAACCTTTTGGGAAAGAAAATATGTTCATTTCATTTGCAAATACAAAGTCTCTCATTGTTTCCTGTTTTGTCTTTGTTAGGAATCTTTGAGATTCTAATCAATCCATACTGTTGGAGTTACTCCTTGTGGTGGTCTGTTAGCAAAAAAAAAAAAAAAGGTCACAATTACTCTCTTCCCTGAATGCATGCCCCTTGCAAGGTGACTCTGAAGCAGGCTCCAGGCTTAGGTTTTTTTTTTTGATTTAGCCATTTTTTTTCATCTAGCCAAGCTGAGACAAATTGCCACAGCAGGTTTCTATCTAGCCTCCCCCATGCCCCTTGCATAGCTGCTTTGTTAGTTTATCTTATAGGGAGATACCAGGCGTTCCAAGAGACCAAGGACAGCAGTGGGTCAGCTCAGACCTGTTTTGGCCCTCTGATATGCGCATTGGGAAAAACAGAACAATGTTGCTCAGAACCAACCCCCTCTGCATAAGCCCCATCAGCTGAGGACAGGAAGTCCTGTAACTCATCTAATACGCAAGCGCATTGCATTGAAAATTGACTGTCCCTTTAAACCAAGGCGAATGAAACTTCACCCAATCCCGAGCCAGTTCATGCCCAAATTTCTGGAATTTATATGAATACGTGTAACTAGTTTCGCCCTCCTCAAAGCCCCACAAAAGCCATAACCTGACTCAGGGAGTCAGATTTGGGTGCATTTCCCCTGGTTCCTACTAAGTGCCTAGTAATAAACCAACTTTCTTTTTTTATCAGAACCTGGTGTGTTCTGTTTCCTGGCCTTGCAGCGCACAGGACAGGGACCTTCTTTGGTCTGCCTTCAAATTGGTGACCTCAGGACCTTCTGACCCTCTGCTGGGGGACCCTCAGGTGGTGGCAGCGACCCTCTGGTGCAAACCTGGACTCTATTTTGTCTGGAGGTACTCAGCACAGTGTTGAGCCCTGCCCGCAGTACTCCTGGCCGAGGCACTTTCATCCTTTGATAAGAAGAAACTGGTCCTGGTTTAAAGACATCTCCTAGGTGAGTACAAATAAAATTCTTCAGAATACATAAGAGGAGTTGTGTGGGAGGTTGAGGTTGGGCTAATAACACCTCTGTAGCCCTGGTGTTTCTCAAGATTTGTGCCCCAATATGGTTATCATATGTTAATTTCTGGGAGCCTGAGAGACAACTCCATGAGTGTATACCTGGTCTGGTTCTGGTTCTGTATGTATGTTCTGGGAAACTGGGAGACATGTCTGTGAGCACATATTATACCTGGTCTGGTTTACTCCTGGTTTACTTTGTATGTGTGCGTGAGCGGTCGGCATGTACGGTTTTAAGTGAGAGTGAACATGCTGTGTGTTTTGAGTGGAAATGAGTAATCAGAGTTAAGCGCCAAAATGCAGCTATGTTGCATACTGAAGAATAGGGCTCGATTCAGTTATAAGCCTATGAAAAAGAAGAAAGTGACTTTCTTTTGTGCAACTTGGATCTGGCAAAGAGTGACCCGAGAATGGAAGTTTAAATTATGATAACTACTTTACAGCTGGATCTGTTCTGTTGTTGTTGTTGTGTGCTCCGTCGAGTCGGCCCCGACTCATAGCGACCCCTCCTTGGGTTTCCGAGGCAGTATCACTACGGAAGTAGGATTGCCCAACCTTCCTTCCGAGGAGTGGCTGGTGGGTTTGAACCGCCAGCCTTCTGGTTAGCAGTCAAGTGCTTTAGCCACTATGCTACCAGAGCTCCTGATCTGTTATGTAAGAGAGGAAAAGTCAGATATTTTTATGATTTTGTGACAAAATAAGAATTTGCAGAAAGACTGTAAGAGTTTCCTCTAAAAAATTAAGAGTTGTTTCATCTTAAAATAGAATGTCTAGTTACGCCAGAATACAGAAGATAATAAAAACCAAAAAAGTATATAGTAAGTTGTACAAGGTAAGAGAGAAGTTTAAAGAGAAGGCTAAAATAGATGCCACAGGCAACAGAAGGATGTGTATGTGTACTTGAGTCTAGTAGTGAGTGTACTCATAGTTTTTAAAGGGTTACAATATATTAAGTATGTCACAAAGACAAGGAATGTTGGGAAAACTTGGTAAAAGATTTTTGTTTGATGTGATGGAGAATCTTGTTTACTTCCAATTAAATAATACGCTAATTCATAAGAAAAAAATTACTGTGTACATTTTAGGAAACTAAGTTTCCCCTATGCTTAGTTATGTGATGTTTTATAAGCTTAGGTCTTGTTCTGCTTACCTAGTGCCACTCTGACAGGAATATACCACAAAAGGGATGGTGTAAACAAACGGGTTTATTGTCTTACATTTTGGAGGCTTTAAGTCCAAGTTCAAAGTGCCAGGCTCTAGGAGCTGGGTGAAAGCCCCTCAACCTTGGGGTCCAGCTCTGCCTCCTGCTCCCAGCCTACTGGAGCTAGAGGCGTTTCTTTACTCAGACAGCTGCTGGCTGCTGAGGCTGACAAACCCAAGGTTGACAAATAAAAAGGCCCACTCCTGCTGTTACCAAACCACACAGCAGGCCATTAATTTAAGTCCACTGTAAATCCCAAGGTCAGCAGAGCATGGCAGGCTGCTGAACAACAACATGGCTACATGCAGGATCCAAGCGTCCCATAAGCTAGAGACCATTCCCAAAGCTGCTTCTTATATACAGGAAGCAGACCACATACCCAAAGCAATTACTCAGCTGCTTGTGGTAGATCCCACACACCATGGAGTGGATTGCCAGTCTCATCATGGAAAATAACTACCACCAGCTACTGAGCAACTCAACCAGGCCCAGCCAAGTTGACACACAAACATAACGACCACAATTCCATCCCTTGTCAACTTGGCATCTGTACAGATCTTCACTGGGTGGAATCTGTACAGATCTCTCTCACTGGGTGACTCCAGTCCCCTAGTTCCTCTGAGTGGCGACCTCACCCCCTTGGCCTGGTGGCCCCGTTCCTCTCCCTCTTGGACATGGAAGCCCCGCCCCCTCACTCTTGGGCAGCGGCTGTGGCTCCATCCCACTGACTCACATGAAAGAGCACCCCCACACTCCAGAACCAAGTTGGTGAAGGCCTAGCTCTTTGAAACCTAGGGGGCTGTGGTCGTTCCACAACCAAAGGCCATGGTCCTACCCTTTCAGGCTGAGGCAGCTCTGCTTCCATTTCCTTGGTCTCCGCTTCTGCCAATTAATGATGAAGGCAACCCACTCCACAGGAAATCTTCCTGCCCCAAAGCACTCAGCTCTCTTGCTCCATGGGCCGGCCAACCTGCTACTCCATTTCATGCCAGTCTCTTCGCCAATTAATGCCCGAAGGCAACCCACTCCGCCAGGAAGCCACCTGCCCAATGGCACCTGCTTTCTCCTCCATGAAGCTGGTAAGCCTGTTGCTGTTTAATGCTGCTCTCTTGGCTCTGCTACTGCCATCTCTCATGCTGGTTTCTTTGCTGATATCTCTCTGCCATTCTCTTGGCTCTGCTCCTACTGTCTCTCATGTCGTATGCCAGTGTCTCTCTGCCAGGGTCTCGGGACAAGTACACATACCACATGTGTTTCCACATTTTAGGTATCTGTCAGAGCACCATCCCACTCTCTTGGTACCAAATTCTGTTCCGGTTACCAAGTGCCACTCTGACAGGAATACACCACAAATGGGATGGTGTAAACAAACAGGAGTTTATTCTCTTAACAACCTGGAGGCTTTAAGTCTAAGTTCAAAGTGCCAGGCTCTAGGGGCTGGGTGAAAGCCCCTCAACCTTGGGGTCCAGCTCTGCCTCCTGCTCTCAGCCCACTGGAGCTAGAGGTGTTTCTTCACTCAGACAACTGCTGGCTGCTGAGGCTGACAAACCCAAGGTTGATAAATAAAAAGGCCCAGTCCCGATGTTTCCAAATCACACAGCAGGCCATTAATTTAAGTCCACTCTAAGTCTCAAGGTCAGCAGAGCATGGCAGGCTGCTGAACAATGACACAGCTACATGCAGGGTCCAAGCATGCCATAAGCTACAGACCATTCCCAAAGCTGCTTCTTATATACAGGGAGCAGATCACATACCCAAAGCAGCTACTCAGCTGCTTGTGGTAGATCCCACAATGCAGTGGATAGCCAGTCTCATCATGGGAAATAACTACCACCAGCTACCCAGCCACTCAACCAGGCCCAGCCAGGTTGACACACAAACATAACCACAATTCTACCCCTTGTCAACTTGGCATCTGTACAGATCTTCATTGGGTAGAATCTGTACAGATCTCTCTCACTGGGTAGCTCCAGTCCCCTAGTTCCTCTAAGTGGCGACCTCACCCCCTTGGCCTGGAGGGCCCCGTGCCTCTCCTTCTTGGGCATGGCAGTCCCGCCCCCTCACTCTTGGGCAGCAGCTATGGCTCCATCCCACTGACTCACTTGAATGAGCAGCCCCACACTCCAGAACCAACTTGATGAAGGCCTGGCTCTTTGAAACCTAGGGGCTGTGGTCATCCCACCCACAAAGGCTATGGTCCTACCCTTTCAGGTTGAGGTAGCTCTGATTCCATTTCCTTGGTTTCCACTTCTGCTGATTAATGCCAAAGGCAACCCACTCTGCAGAAAATCTTCCTGCCCCAAAGCACTCAGCTCTCTTCCTACATGGGCAGGCCAATCTGCTACTCCATTTCATGCCGGTCTCTTCACCAATTAATGCCCAAAAGCAACGCACTCCATCAGGAAGCCACCTGCCCAATGGCACCGGCTTTCTCCTCCATGGGCTGGTAAGCCTGTTGCTGTTTAATGCTGGTCTCTGGGCTCTGCTCCTGCTGTCTCTCATGCTGGTCTCTTTCTGCCAGTGTCTTGGCTGTGCTCCTACCATCTCTCATGCTGTATGCCATTGTCTCTCTGCCAGGGTCTCAGGTCATGGACTCACTCCACTCCTGTTTCCACATTTTAGGTTATCTGTCAGAGCAGCACTGCACTCTCTCAGTACAATTCTGGTCTGGTTACCTAGTGCCACTCTACAGGAATATACCACAAATGGGATGGCTT